ATCACATAGCTAAACAATGGAGGCAGTATAATAATGTTTAATAATATTTATTAAAAAGTATCTTATATACATAGCATACATGTATTCTCTACTGATTTGGAATACAACGCTTATTAAAGGGAACACACCCTGTACTACACAGATATAAATTCTGCTCTTGTTTCTATTTGTTCCGTATAGTTTTTATCTACCAATGGAATAATTGTCTCGCCTTCAATATCGTCATTCAGACCAGCCTTTTCGTTGTCATAGATTAATCGCAAAGATGATTTACAAACCTTGTAAGTCACAGCTGATGTTAAACATTGGAAATAGATGTTAGTTATTGATCTCATTCGGTCTCTGAAATAGAACAAAGCTGGTATAGTAGATATTTTATACATATTTCCAGCTTAACAGTCAACGTTTGTGATTATTTTTTTAATTATTTTAATTGAATATACAATCGTATGGCAGATGAAATAAAATTTTGAAGTACAACTTCGCAAAATGTAGTCGAATGACAGTAATCATAATTTTCTTCACACAAAAAGGGACACTAGAAATACCTTCTTCCTCGCCCGAATCCCAATGAAGTTTGGTACTGTTATGAAAGTAAAAATAAAACTAAGCAACTCATTTGGAAGATTTTTTTCGTCTATACTTACGAAAACCAATCAAATGCAAATAAAAGAGATGCTGCCTCCGGCGGAATCCCTATAGCAGAGAGTAAAATAATAATGGTGACGAGGGATCCACTTGGTATGGATGGCACAGCAAATGACATCAGCGTAACTAACAAACTAAAAAAACAATCTAATTATAATGAGGTAATCTGCACGATTGTGAAAAATGTGAAAATTATCAAAATGTTACAAGTCATGGATGTTATATCATATGCACGAGAAAGGCATACTTAGCTAAAATTTGAAAGAAATGAGATGGATTTTGTTATTCTTTTTATGTTTCTTTTTGGTCATTTAGCTCCTACGTTTCTACGTATTTATACATCCCTGGCTTTCAAATATATATTTTGGTATGAGCGTCCTGATATGATTGACAAATTTAAATGAATGTGAGAATATATTTAATTTATTTAGCAAGATTGAGTGATTGTTTGCTGTCTAAACATTGCATAAAACATAGGAAATAGGTTCAAGAAATCACTATTTTATTATTTTAAAATTTAATGATTTTTTTTAGAATATCAATAACCGTAAATATTAGCTTCAAAATTGATTTTGTACATACACAATGAGTACTATTGATCCCGCATTTTGATCTTGATTTTCTAGTTGTGAAATGAAGACACAAGATGCCGATAGAAATATACAGCTTCCAGTTCTGCCTATAGCTGCATTTAAAGGAACAATGAAGCGTGTTATACGTTTATCTATTTTATTATATGGTCCTTCTAATTTCCTCAAAGATTCAGGCATAGCTATAGATCTGGAAACAAATTATAAATACATTGATTTAATGAAAACGATGTCTCACGAATAAAACAATGTACTAAATAGATTATATATTCAAATTTCGTACAAAGATGAGTGTGTATTTATCCAATGTCAAGCAATAAGTCATAATTGTATATATCCAATGTCAAGCAATAAGTCATAATTGTATATATCCAATGTCAAACAATAAGTCATAATTGTATATATCCAATGTCAAACAATAAGTCATAATTGTATATATCCAATGTCAAACAATAAGTCATAATTGTATATTATCCAAATTTAATGTCAAATATTAAGTCATAATTGTATTTATCATATACTTAATTTAATGTCAAATAATGGTATAATTGTACCCCATGATAAAACTTATTTGTACATATATTTATTCATTAAATTTGAAGAATTGCCTTAGCCGTATGATATGACTTTTGTTATCAACTGCTTCCGGTTTATATCAACTGCTTCCGTTTCATATCAACTGCTTCCGGTTATTATCGCACGCTTTTCTGTAACGTTATCGCATGACGGCCCAAGACCACAATTAATGACCCCAGTTTTCGTTGTTCACGAATATAGTTCCCTTTAATTAAAGTGTATTTTTTCTTAATTTTTTTTCTTTGCCTTTCTCATTGATTTCTTAGTTTTTATGGGGTGGAAGTGAGAGAAGAGAGGTAAAATAAATTTTTGGATGTTGTATTTAAACTGATTTTGATATGGAAAGAGTGATTAGGCCAAGTGCAAAAAGGTAATATTTACAGTTTTCGGAACATCTCTTGACTTGTCGATAAGGGTATGGCTGTGTAGTGGCTAAATTTGTAAGAGTCATTGGTTCAATCTTTCTGAATTTTGGATATATTTTTGGACTAGTACTATACATTACACACACAAAAGATTTGACAAAAATGCAAGGTGCAATTTTTTTAATGAGACAAAACGTTATAAAGAACTAATAGAGGAATTAATTGTGGTCTGTGGCCTAAGAGGCTGATACCCAAATTCTTGAAAATAAAGAAACTTTTTTGGCAGAAAGTCACTTGAAATGATAAATATTATTGGTGTATTGTAATTTTATTCAATATTAATCTTTAAACCGATTATAATATGCAATTTTAGGCATTTTTGGCCATTTTGATGCACTGAAAGCCCTTTGACCCCAGTTTCAGCCCTTTCTGTCAATAATGTTGGACCCTTTTTATATTTTAGAATATATTACTACTCTATTGTCTTACAAAACATCACATCTTCAAAATGGATGCATTTTATCTAAAATATAGTCAAAAATTAAGAGATAGCTCTGCACCTGGCTATAATGGGCAGTGTCAAATTTGGACAGGTTTATGTACACCTAATGGCAAATATGGAGTTATTAATTGTAAATTTCCAGATGCCAGGGGGTGGAGACAAATGCATGTGCACAGTCTTGCCTACATGGTGCATCATCAGAATATTTTTATTGATAAAACTGATGATGTTTTTCACCTGTGCCACAATTCGAAATGCATTACTGTCGAACATCTGTCGTTGGAACCTCATGGTTTCAACAACAGCCGGCAGTCATGCGTTTCAACCGGTTCCTGCTTAGGCCACCCAGATCCCCTCCCTCGCTGCAGAGTGGAGTTAAAAATGGACAATAATAATTTGGGTAAAATAATTATCGGGTACTTTTTTATTTTAATTTTACTTCTTTTTTTTTCTGGGGCAGGCCAAAATTTTATATTTTTATCAGAATGGGAGAAAAAAAGGGAAAAAAATTGGAAGCTAATGTACAACAACTTTAGATTCTTTTTTTTGATATTTGGGTGGTCCTGAAAAGGACCTTTTATGGTTTTGTTTGTTGGTGGCTCTGGTATCTCAGTCTGCAGCAGGTCTTGGAAGCTTTGGTTTGCAGTAGCTGTCATGGTCCTGGAACTGTAAGGCAGGCTGTGGATCTAGTTGACCTTTGCAGTAATAGTCATGCTTTTTGTTCATTTCTCTCCATGTCTTGTGCTCTGCAAGCTTTTCTGCATTCTGCTTTAATCTCCTTTCTTGAACTGCTGGTCTTAGTATGTAATCTCGGTTGTATTGAAAGTCAGTGTCCATTTTCTTCAGGTGAATAAAATTGAGAATGGAAATGGGGAATGTGTGTCAAAGAGACAACAACCCGACCATAGAACAGACAACAGCAGAAGGTCACCAACAGGTCTTCAATGTAGCGAGAAATTCCCGCACCCGGAGGCGTCCTTCAGCTGGCCCCTAAACAAATATATATACTAGTTCAGTGATAATGAACGCCATACTAAACTCCAAATTGTACACAAGAAACTAAAATTAAAAATAATACAAGACTAACAAAGGCTAGAGGCTCCTGACTTGGGATAGGCGCAAAAATGCGGCGGGGTTAAACATGTTTATGAGATCTCAACCCTCCCCCTATACCTCTAGCCAATGTAGAAAAGTAAACGCATAACAATACGCACATTAAAATTCAGTTCAAGAGAAGTCCGAGTCTGATGTCAGAAGATGTAACCAAAGAAAATAAACAAAATGAAAATAATACATAAATAACAACAGACTACTAGCAGTTAACTGACATGCCAGCTCCAGACTTCAATTAAACTGATTGAAAGATTATGTCTTCATCATATGAATATCAGGCACAATCCTTCCCGTTAGGGGTTTAGTATCATACCATCATAACATATATGAGAAGAACATAACCCGTGTCATGCCAACAACTGGTTTTTAAATAAATGTGTTTAGTGCCGATGCAAAGACCCTATAAGTGAGTCAATATTAACGCCAAAATATGCAATCTTTAATGACCTGACAACAGTATCGTAACTATATCCCTTCTTAATAAGTCTACTTAAAGGTTTTGTTAGCTTCAGAGGTGAATACTGACATTTTTGTGCTTTATAAAGAATATTTCCATAAAAAATTGGATGTGAAATACCTGAACGTGTAAGAAGTCTGCATGTTGAGCTATATTTACGAATGATGTCCTTATACCGATGATAAAATTTAGTAAATGTTTTGACTAGTTTGTGATATCGAAAACCCTGGTGTAATAATTTTTCAGTAATACATAAATTTCTCTCGTTAAAATCTAAAACATTGTTACATACACGAGCGAATCGTACAAGTTGAGATATATAAACACCGTAAGATGGTGACAAGGGAACGTCACCATCTAAAAATGGATAATTAACGATAGGAAATGAAAAATCATCTCTTTTATCATATATTTTAGTATTAAGCTTTCCGTTAATGATATAGATATCAAGTTTACTTCGTTCTGAAAGGTCTACCCCTAGATTTGTACATTTCAGTTGTGTCGAGGTTCCCGGCATGTTGTTATTTCTATGTACTCCTGAAGCAAGTCGTCCTTCCATATTTTTGGAGTAAATTACATTCTTGGGCAAATTAAGACTCAGTGCTCTATGTACTCCTTCATTTTTGTTTGTATTGTCATATAGTTTCATACTTTCAATAGCTGCTGAAGTTAATTTCATTTTCAGGATTTCTTGAAGTAAAAATTTATCTGTTTTATCCATTTGCAGGGCAGTGATCTGGTATTGGACAAGTACGATGAACGACTCCACCAGTTAAGTGCAGCATCACCTTTGCAAACAATGGAATATTCCGGACACAGGGTGCAGTCACTATCATAGCAGCGAAGAGTTGCCTCGAGCACTTTTGGTAAGTCTTTGCTTATTTCATCAATGTTTTTGTCATATTTCTCCATCAGTTTCTTTAATATCATGGAGCATCTGCACTTTAGATCTTTACTAAACACCGTCCTCAGTTGTTTATTTTCCTCTTTTGTTTTTCCATGGAACATTCCGGCACTGTATTGAGCTCGCAAAGAGGCCCTGAATTGAGACTGTCCCAAATGTACATGATCTGCCAGTCTTTCCACTTTCCACATTGGTTCGAGAGCTGTAAGGGCGTCTTCAATACCTCTAGCTGAACGTCCATCTCCATCTGTGGTCACATACCGTACAAGACATTTCTGGAGTCCTAGCTGATTTCCTATCTCTTTTCCCAGCTCGTACTCTGACAGGGCAGCAGCTCTGTATAAATTTGCTGTACATTCTTCATGGCCAGGACATTCTATTGGAAAGCCTTTTCCTCTAAGCCAACCCCCTTTCCAACACATCTTTTTCTGCACAACTGCAGCTACTATATACTTTTTATCTGTCATTGTTTCTATTGCAAGGGCAAATGCTTGAGTGGCATTCTGACCGGGTTTCTTTTTACTAACAATTGTGTTGCTGTTGTATCGAGCATCCACAGTTATGTTAATTTCATCTTCTGGGACACCTCGCTTTCTGTTGTCTTCTTTTACTAGTTCCAGTTTCTGTGCCATGTCTGTTTTTTTCAGTTTGACCATTTCAGCTGCTACTCTACTGGATGTGCGTTGCATACTGCTTCGACATGGTGGTGGTGTGTCCATTCCTGTAAGGAGTTGCTGCACTGTTGTATTTCCAATTGGGCAGTCCTGCAAAGCAGATGCAAGGGCTACATTTGGTTGTCCTGGGTTGGGTCCTGGTTTGCCATTAGCTATTTCTTTGTACATCTTTATTCTGTCTCCAATAAAACCACAGGTTATGCATTTCAGGGTATACTGCCAGCAAGTTCCCCACTTTTTCTGTTCATGATAGTCAACATTAAATTTAGGACAGGATGGTGAGTCCACTTGGTGTTTATCATAAGTAGTGTTGTACAAGCTGAGTGTCAGTTGACTGTCTATCCACCTCATACCAAAATGTAATGCTTTATTTTCTTCTCTTTTCAGGTCAGCTTGCGAGCGAAGAGTACAGATGTTACCAGTCGTCTCTATTTTGCAGTCAGAAGATTGAAAAGTTTGCCGCACATGGGAAGTACGTGCACTACCTGATTGAGGGATCGGTATTGATGTCTGGCTTCGGCTTCTACCACTGGGTTTTCCAGCTTGGAACCATCCAGGATTTCTTGGAGAGTTGTCTTTCTTTGACCTGTTCTTGGTATAGCCTTTAGTGAACATTTTGAAAATTTAACTAGATCCTTAATATCCCAACTTGGACTGATAGCATAAACTTTGGACATCCTTATATTTATAATCAAGCATTGTATGATATCTGCTTTGATGTACATTTTTTCCTTTGATGCAGTCTGTGGTGTAGATTTCAAGAGACCACCTTCAGAGGCAACTCTGAATTAACAGAGTTTTCTTAGCAGTATCCAACTAAGCCAATTAATCTATTATTAGGGGTCCAGATTAAGATTGTTTCATCCAAATCTATTGAAAAATATTACTTTATCATTTATTGAGAGATTAATTTAACAAAGAAGCATATTTATTTTTTTTATTAATTTTTTTATAATTTTTTTTATCAAAATGCAATATATTTTTTAATAACTATTTTTCTTACAGAAATCTGTTATAAAATTAAAATCTATTTATCTATAAAAATAAACATAACAGAAAACTTCACTAAAAAGTTTATTTCAGAGTAATATTTCAAGGAATGAAGAAATTACACTAGTTTGAAATTTTCATTACATGTAATCTGACCTGATGTTACACATGAATATTGGTACCTCAGGTAAACAGGCCAAGTACCTGTGAAATTTGTCTGATTAGTGTTTATGTTATATTTTACTTATTACAGATAAGATAAGCAATTTTTTAAGATAAGTTTTGAAAGTTAATTTTCTTTTTAAATATTTTTAATGGAATTTTATTTATGTTCAGTGTTAGTATATTCACTAAATTTACAAGAATTTTAGAAAAAAAATAATTTCAATTTAAAAAACATGATTTTTGATAAATTTTCTTTCAGATTCTAGAAATTTAACCACTTAGCTACTATAGACATTTTACTTTTTTAAGATATCATGTTTAACAAGAAAGTTATTAAACTTTTACTTTTCCTAGTAGTTACATGTTTTGAAAGTTTCATGCCAGAAAACAACTAGAATTATCAACATGAGGCTAGTGATATTAAAACTATCAGAACTGCCATAAAACTTGTCGGATTGATTTGATATATGGTATGCTAGTTCGATATAGAATAAGCTTAATGCGTGCCATTTTTTGGGGTATTATATTGAAAAAAAGGGTCTAATAGGCCCAAGACCACAATTAATGACCCCACTTTTCGTTGTTCACGAATATAGTTCCCTTTAATTAAAGTGTATTTTTTCTTAATTTTTTTTCTTTGCCTTTCTCATTGATTTCTTAGTTTTTATGGGGTGGAAGTGAGAGAAGAGAGGTAAAATAAATTTTTGGATGTTGTATTTAAACTGATTTTGATATGGAAAGAGTGATTAGGCCAAGTGCAAAAAGGTAATATTTACAGTTTTCGGAACATCTCTTGACTTGTCGATAAGGGTATGGCTGTGTAGTGGCTAAATTTGTAAGAGTCATTGGTTCAATCTTTCTGAATTTTGGATATATTTTTGGACTAGTACTATACATTACACACACAAAAGATTTGACAAAAATGCAAGGTGCAATTTTTTTAATGAGACAAAACGTTATAAAGAACTAATAGAGGAATTAATTGTGGTCTGTGGCCTAAGAGGCTGATACCCAAATTCTTGAAAATAAAGAAACTTTTTTGGCAGAAAGTCACTTGAAATGATAAATATTATTGGTGTATTGTAATTTTATTCAATATTAATCTTTAAACCGGTTATAATATGCAATTTTAGGCATTTTTGGCCATTTTGATGCACTGAAAGCCCTTTGACCCCAGTTTCAGCCCTTTCTGTCAATAATGTTGGACCCTTTTTATATTTTAGAATATATTACTACTCTATTGTCTTACAAAACATCACATCTTCAAAATGGATGCATTTTATCTAAAATATAGTCAAAAATTAAGAGATAGCTCTGCACCTGGCTATAATGGGCAGTGTCAAATTTGGACAGGTTTATGTACACCTAATGGCAAATATGGAGTTATTAATTGTAAATTTCCAGATGCCAGGGGGTGGAGACAAATGCATGTGCACAGTCTTGCCTACATGGTGCATCATCAGAATATTTTTATTGATAAAACTGATGATGTTTTTCACCTGTGCCACAATTCGAAATGCATTACTGTCGAACATCTGTCGTTGGAACCTCATGGTTTCAACAACAGCCGGCAGTCATGCGTTTCAACCGGTTCCTGCTTAGGCCACCCAGATCCCCTCCCTCGCTGCAGAGTGGAGTTAAAAATGGACAATAATAATTTGGGTAAAATAATTATCGGGTACTTTTTTATTTTAATTTTACTTCTTTTTTTTTCTGGGGCAGGCCAAAATTTTATATTTTTATCAGAATGGGAGAAAAAAAGGGAAAAAAATTGGAAGCTAATGTACAACAACTTTAGATTCTTTTTTTGATATTTGGGTGGTCCTGAAAAGGACCTTTTATGGTTTTGTTTGCTGGTGGCTCTGGTATCTCAGTCTGCAGCAGGTCTTGGAAGCTTTGGTTTGCAGTAGCTGTCATGGTCCTGGAACTGTAAGGCAGGCTGTGGATCTAGTTGACCTTTGCAGTAATAGTCATGCTTTTTGTTCATTTCTCTCCATGTCTTGTGCTCTGCAAGCTTTTCTGCATTCTGCTTTAATCTCCTTTCTTGAACTGCTGGTCTTAGTATGTAATCTCGGTTGTATTGAAAGTCAGTGTCCATTTTCTTCAGGTGAATAAAATTGAGAATGGAAATGGGGAATGTGTGTCAAAGAGACAACAACCCGACCATAGAACAGACAACAGCAGAAGGTCACCAACAGGTCTTCAATGTAGCGAGAAATTCCCGCACCCGGAGGCGTCCTTCAGCTGGCCCCTAAACAAATATATATACTAGTTCAGTGATAATGAACGCCATACTAAACTCCAAATTGTACACAAGAAACTAAAATTAAAAATAATACAAGACTAACAAAGGCTAGAGGCTCCTGACTTGGGATAGGCGCAAAAATGCGGCGGGGTTAAACATGTTTATGAGATCTCAACCCTCCCCCTATACCTCTAGCCAATGTAGAAAAGTAAACGCATAACAATACGCACATTAAAATTCAGTTCAAGAGAAGTCCGAGTCTGATGTCAGAAGATGTAACCAAAGAAAATAAACAAAATGAAAATAATACATAAATACTGTAAATTCAGAAATTATTGCGTGCATTTATTATTGCGATTTTGTTATTTTAAACTAAAATGCGATTTTAATTTTTGCGATATTGAGAAAAATCCTGTTTAATTCATATAAAAAATTTCAAAATGCGAGTTTAAATTATTGCGATTATTACCCTGTCGCATTTTTCGCAATAATAAAAACATCGCAATAATTTCTGAATTTACAGTAACAACAGACTACTAGCAGTTAACTGACATGCCAGCTCCAGACTTCAATTAAACTGATTGAAAGATTATGTCTTCATCATATGAATATCAGGCACAATCCTTCCCGTTAGGGGTTTAGTATCATACCATCATAACATATATGAGAAGAACATAACCCGTGTCATGCCAACAACTGGTTTTTAAATAAATGTGTTTAGTGCCGATGCAAAGACCCTATAAGTGAGTCAATATTAACGCCAAAATATGCAATCTTTAATGACCTGACAACAGTATCGTAACTATATCCCTTCTTAATAAGTCTACTTAAAGGTTTTGTTAGCTTCAGAGGTGAATACTGACATTTTTGTGCTTTATAAAGAATATTTCCATAAAAAATTGGATGTGAAATACCTGAACGTGTAAGAAGTCTGCATGTTGAGCTATATTTACGAATGATGTCCTTATACCGATGATAAAATTTAGTAAATGTTTTGACTAGTTTGTGATATCGAAAACCCTGGTGTAATAATTTTTCAGTAATACATAAATTTCTCTCGTTAAAATCTAAAACATTGTTACATACACGAGCGAATCGTACAAGTTGAGATATATAAACACCGTAAGATGGTGACAAGGGAACGTCACCATCTAAAAATGGATAATTAACGATAGGAAATGAAAAATCATCTCTTTTATCATATATTTTAGTATTAAGCTTTCCGTTAATGATATAGATATCAAGTTTACTTCGTTCTGAAAGGTCTACCCCTAGATTTGTACATTTCAGTTGTGTCGAGGTTCCCGGCATGTTGTTATTTCTATGTACTCCTGAAGCAAGTCGTCCTTCCATATTTTTGGAGTAAATTACATTCTTGGGCAAATTAAGACTCAGTGCTCTATGTACTCCTTCATTTTTGTTTGTATTGTCATATAGTTTCATACTTTCAATAGCTGCTGAAGTTAATTTCATTTTCAGGATTTCTTGAAGTAAAAATTTATCTGTTTTATCCATTTGCAGGGCAGTGATCTGGTATTGGACAAGTACGATGAACGACTCCACCAGTTAAGTGCAGCATCACCTTTGCAAACAATGGAATATTCCGGACACAGGGTGCAGTCACTATCATAGCAGCGAAGAGTTGCCTCGAGCACTTTTGGTAAGTCTTTGCTTATTTCATCAATGTTTTTGTCATATTTCTCCATCAGTTTCTTTAATATCATGGAGCATCTGCACTTTAGATCTTTACTAAACACCGTCCTCAGTTGTTTATTTTCCTCTTTTGTTTTTCCATGGAACATTCCGGCACTGTATTGAGCTCGCAAAGAGGCCCTGAATTGAGACTGTCCCAAATGTACATGATCTGCCAGTCTTTCCACTTTCCACATTGGTTCGAGAGCTGTAAGGGCGTCTTCAATACCTCTAGCTGAACGTCCATCTCCATCTGTGGTCACATACCGTACAAGACATTTCTGGAGTCCTAGCTGATTTCCTATCTCTTTTCCCAGCTCGTACTCTGACAGGGCAGCAGCTCTGTATAAATTTGCTGTACATTCTTCATGGCCAGGACATTCTATTGGAAAGCCTTTTCCTCTAAGCCAACCCCCTTTCCAACACATCTTTTTCTGCACAACTGCAGCTACTATATACTTTTTATCTGTCATTGTTTCTATTGCAAGGGCAAATGCTTGAGTGGCATTCTGACCGGGTTTCTTTTTACTAACAATTGTGTTGCTGTTGTATCGAGCATCCACAGTTATGTTAATTTCATCTTCTGGGACACCTCGCTTTCTGTTGTCTTCTTTTACTAGTTCCAGTTTCTGTGCCATGTCTGTTTTTTTCAGTTTGACCATTTCAGCTGCTACTCTACTGGATGTGCGTTGCATACTGCTTCGACATGGTGGTGGTGTGTCCATTCCTGTAAGGAGTTGCTGCACTGTTGTATTTCCAATTGGGCAGTCCTGCAAAGCAGATGCAAGGGCTACATTTGGTTGTCCTGGGTTGGGTCCTGGTTTGCCATTAGCTATTTCTTTGTACATCTTTATTCTGTCTCCAATAAAACCACAGGTTATGCATTTCAGGGTATACTGCCAGCAAGTTCCCCACTTTTTCTGTTCATGATAGTCAACATTAAATTTAGGACAGGATGGTGAGTCCACTTGGTGTTTATCATAAGTAGTGTTGTACAAGCTGAGTGTCAGTTGACTGTCTATCCACCTCATACCAAAATGTAATGCTTTATTTTCTTCTCTTTTCAGGTCAGCTTGCGAGCGAAGAGTACAGATGTTACCAGTCGTCTCTATTTTGCAGTCAGAAGATTGAAAAGTTTGCCGCACATGGGAAGTACGTGCACTACCTGATTGAGGGATCGGTATTGATGTCTGGCTTCGGCTTCTACCACTGGGTTTTCCAGCTTGGAACCATCCAGGATTTCTTGGAGAGTTGTCTTTCTTTGACCTGTTCTTGGTATAGCCTTTAGTGAACATTTTGAAAATTTAACTAGATCCTTAATATCCCAACTTGGACTGATAGCATAAACTTTGGACATCCTTATATTTATAATCAAGCATTGTATGATATCTGCTTTGATGTACATTTTTTCCTTTGATGCAGTCTGTGGTGTAGATTTCAAGAGACCACCTTCAGAGGCAACTCTGAATTAACAGAGTTTTCTTAGCAGTATCCAACTAAGCCAATTAATCTATTATTAGGGGTCCAGATTAAGATTGTTTCATCCAAATCTATTGAAAAATATTACTTTATCATTTATTGAGAGATTAATTTAACAAAGAAGCATATTTATTTTTTTTATTAATTTTTTTATAATTTTTTTTATCAAAATGCAATATATTTTTTAATAACTATTTTTCTTACAGAAATCTGTTATAAAATTAAAATCTATTTATCTATAAAAATAAACATAACAGAAAACTTCACTAAAAAGTTTATTTCAGAGTAATATTTCAAGGAATGAAGAAATTACACTAGTTTGAAATTTTCATTACATGTAATCTGACCTGATGTTACACATGAATATTGGTACCTCAGGTAAACAGGCCAAGTACCTGTGAAATTTGTCTGATTAGTGTTTATGTTATATTTTACTTATTACAGATAAGATAAGCAATTTTTTAAGATAAGTTTTGAAAGTTAATTTTCTTTTTAAATATTTTTAATGGAATTTTATTTATGTTCAGTGTTAGTATATTCACTAAATTTACAAGAATTTTAGAAAAAAAATAATTTCAATTTAAAAAACATGATTTTTGATAAATTTTCTTTCAGATTCTAGAAATTTAACCACTTAGCTACTATAGACATTTTACTTTTTTAAGATATCATGTTTAACAAGAAAGTTATTAAACTTTTACTTTTCCTAGTAGTTACATGTTTTGAAAGTTTCATGCCAGAAAACAACTAGAATTATCAACATGAGGGTAGTGATATTAAAACTATCAGAACTGCCATAAAACTTGTCGGATTGATTTGATATATGGTATGCTAGTTCGATATAGAATAAGCTTAATGCGTGCCATTTTTTGGGGTATTATATTGAAAAAAAGGGTCTAATAGGCCCAAGACCACAATTAATGACCCCACTTTTCGTTGTTCACGAATATAGTTCCCTTTAATTAAAGTGTATTTTTTCTTAATTTTTTTTCTTTGCCTTTCTCATTGATTTCTTAGTTTTTATGGGGTGGAAGTGAGAGAAGAGAGGTAAAATAAATTTTTGGATGTTGTATTTAAACTGATTTTGATATGGAAAGAGTGATTAGGCCAAGTGCAAAAAGGTAATATTTACAGTTTTCGGAACATCTCTTGACTTGTCGATAAGGGTATGGCTGTGTAGTGGCTAAATTTGTAAGAGTCATTGGTTCAATCTTTCTGAATTTTGGATATATTTTTGGACTAGTACTATACATCTCACACACAAAAGATTTGACAAAAATGCAAGGTGCAATTTTTTTAATGAGACAAAACGTTATAAAGAACTAATAGAGGAATTAATTGTGGTCTGTGGCCTGACAGTTCGACGTCATTCGGCAAATTCCGGAAAATGTACTTTGTAATTTTTTTAGTAAAACATAACAAAGTTAAAAAGAAAATATTAATAATCAGGATAATATATTATAAAAAAAATACAAAACAAATATTACAACAAACGCATTGTTACAAAGTTTTAAAAATAGTTTTGTCTGTATGTCTTCTGCTGAAGTATATGATAAAAAGAACAAAACATGTCGTTTTTCATATCAGACCCCTTATCAGCCCATGGTCAAAATCATCCCTCGAGCCTGTCGGCTCTCGGGCTGATAACATGACCTAGGGCTGATAAGGGGTCTGATACGAAAAGGCCATGTTATAATCTATATATATATCCAATGTCAAACATTAAGTCATAATTGTATATATCTGTTACAGGCATTTTCTAAATTTAGACATTCTGTAAAATGCCTCAGTAAAACTTTAGGCATTTTCTAAAATGCCTTCAAGATTCAGGCATTTTACATAATGACTAATTTTTCTAGGCATTTTACAAAATGCTTCGAAAAATTGATAGCCATTTTACAAAATGCCTGAAATTATTTTAAAGTATGAAATGTTAAAAAAACAATTGAAAGCTTTGAACAAAGGAGCAGTTTTATTTATGATAATTATTGAATGTTAAAGCTTGCAATTTAAGAGTTTTGATAATCAAAAATAAGTTTTACTGAATTATTCCAAATTCACACAAGCACAGAACTCGATAATTATTTGTTATTTCTTATGATGTTTGGATGACAGTACTGTTACACAAGATTTGTCCTGATTTTTTTGCAAATACATTGTTTGGCGTAAAATGAGGTTTAAGCACTTCGACCACATTTGGAGAAACCTGGATCTTTCGTTACTTTTCCTGATAAAACACTTAGCGTTCGACAACATTAGGTTTCGCAATAAGCACACACGTCACACATGAATATCTTCTTTTTCATATGTTCCAAAAAGATTCAAAGTACATTATCATAATTAGTTTGACTTGTATCTTTTAGCTTATAGCTTTTAATGGACTGAAGCAGATCTGCCCATAACGGGTGATGCATCTATAACAGGAGACGCTTACCCTGTCAATGCACCGTTATTTGTCTCTTCTTGGTCGATTTTCGAGATTTTAACCACAGTTAACTACTGTCTCATTAATTCATCCGATTGCAAAAACCCAGGAATTTCCTTGAGGCAGTAGAAATGAAGATACTCATATCTTTGCATCACAACCAAACAAGGCCTTGTAAGGCGAAATCCATGCTATTGAGGGGAATTTGTTTGGATGTGGATTTATAAATGCTCATTCCTTCTGAATTGGGAAACTCAATATATTGCCGCATTTTAGTAAAGTGCAACTCTTTATACACGTTAAGGACTCTTTGACCGTTCTGCAGGTGGAATTTTCTGTCTCTATCCAAAATACCTTCATTTCAAGCGGCAGTCGAAATTCCTGTCCTTTATCCAGGTTAATCCACTGCAGAAATAACCCATATGAATTATAACCAAATTGTTCTCGTCTTAAAAATGCATGAAATATATTGCTACTGAAAGCAGACAAACAGCAACCAGTCAATTAAAAACCATCTCTTTTTCTCTGCTTCATATGTTTCACTTCACTGTTTTGAATCTGGATTTTCTAAAAATTCGTTTGTAAATTTTTATTCGATTCAAAGAACAATTTGTCCTTCTGTCATTTTGACAAATAATCATAAATTTACTGTCTGAAATACATCTAGTGAGTACATACTTAACGTAGTTTCACTAAAAAGAACATATCATATGACATACAAACTTTCCCTGGTGGTTTTTGAAGAATAAATTAATTATACCGAACCATTAGTTATTTTCTTTGCAAGATGTTGTGTTTTTGTCCATTTTTTATCATATGCATCTCAATGATATCCTTTTTCTACAAACTGTACAGGCAATTTGTTGAATATTGCTTCAAAATTTCAGTCATGATATAAAATGACTAGGCATTTTTAGTCATTTTATATCATACCTGTTAAG